AGCGTAGACCAATCAAACTGAGGTAATAAAAATACGATGAACATGCCACTACAAAAAAGAAAAACAAATGGATAGATTGATAAAGGGAAAGGACGTCCTTTGTTTTGCATTATGCAATGTTTTAATTTAGTGAAATCTTTTACACCATTTCTTTTCTGCACCATATTTTCTTTATCCTTTAATTTTTTTGCTTCATTACTGTTACATGCATCGACCTGGAGGCAAAAGGTGAAAGTTCAAATGCACTTCCAGCATGTCAATTTCAATTCATTTTCTTTTCTGTTGTATTTTGGTTACATTTTTGTCTATTGGCGTAAGAGCCGAACTACCGTTGTAAATCCTTTTAACCCCACCTAGAGCGCATTATTGAAATGGCCCAATTATTTCATTAAAGCTTCAGATTTTTGAGCATAGACCAATCAAACTGAGGTAATAAAAATACAATGAACTTGCCACCACAAAAAAGAACAACAAATGGATAGATTGACAAAGGAAAAGGACATCCTTTGTTTTGCATTATGCAATGTTTTAATTTAGTGAAATCTTTTACACCATTTCTTTTCTGCGCCATATTTTCTTTATCCTTTTTTGCTTCATTACTGTTGCATGCATCGACCTGGAGCCAAAAGGTGAAAGTTCAAATGCACTTCCAGCATGTCAATTTCAATTCATTTTCTTTTCTGTTGTATTTTGGTTACATTTTTCTCTGTTGGCGTAAGAGCCAAACTATCGTTGTAAATCCTTTCAACCCCACCTAGAGCGCATTATTGAAATGGCCCAATAATTTCATTAATGCTTCAGATTTTTTAGCATAGACCAATCAAACTGAGGTAATAAAAATACAATGAACTTGCCACCACAAAAAAGAAAAACAAATGGATAGATTGACAAAGGAAAAGGACATCCTTTGTTTTGCATTATGCAATGTTTTAATTTAGTGAAATCTTTTACACCATTTCTTTTCTGCACCATATTTTCTTTATCCTTTTTTGCTTCATTACTGTTGCATGCATCGACCTGGAGCCAAAAGGTGAAAGTTCAAATGCACTTCCAGCATGTCAATTTCAATTCATTTTCTTTTCTGTTGTATTTTGGTTACATTTTTGTCTATTGGCGTAAGAGCCAAACTATCGTTGTAAATCCTTTCAACCCCACCTAGAGCGCATTATTGAAATGGCCCAATAATTTCATTAATGCTTCAGATTTTTTAGCATAGACCAATTAAACTGAGGTAATAAAAATACAATGAACTTGCCACCACAAAAAAGAAAAACAAATGGATAGATTGATAAAGGAAAAGGACATCCTTTGTTTTGCTTTATGCAATGTTTTAATTTAGTGAAATCTTTTACACCATTTCTCTTCTGCACCATATTTTCTTTATCCTTTTTTGCTTCATTTTTCCTTTATCAAATTCTTTTTTTTTTTTTGGGTAAACGCCTTTTATAAGTCTCTCTACTTGCGAGAAGAGAGCAAAAAAAAGTTACCAAATACCAAAAGAGTGCAATTCTCTTCCAATGCCAGCCCAATTGGTGAACTAGTAATTAATGGTGGTGGGTCCTAATGCTTTCTTCATCATGCTTGTTCTATCAACTACGACATCTACCCAAATGATTTATTTATGGTGCATGATTAATGTATTCCATAGAAATTATTACATGGATCATGCAAAAATTAATATTCAACATCATCGTAAAACATATCTAAATTAAGTAACCACCATAACTAGAACAAATAATTATTCTACACTCACCAAACAAATAAACTCATACAGTAGTATTTTTTACTGCATAGAAATTGAATTTTTTTTCCTTTTAAGGAATCAAATTCCACCTTAGACGGTCAAGTCAAGTACATTATTTATCTTTTCTAGACATTCAGGAACCTAAAGAAATCAGCCCACTAGCTTTTTGAATAAGAAATCATCCACAAGTTTCTGCTAATTGTTTGATAATCAATTAATAAGTTTCAAAATATGCAAGATTGACGAGACATGACATATCACTACCATAAGCAAAATGAATGTACTCACTTATAGACTTGCATTAACTAGTATGAGCACGTGCATTGAGTGTTGTAAATATCACCTTTGGTGTTACTTGATCTAATAATAATTCTCTTGAGATTAATGAAAATATTTAACTAGTTTGAGTGTTGTATTTCTATCATTCTTCTCATTGAATATAACATATAAAATAGTCTTGTAAGATTTTTACAAAACCTAATTGATTTATACTTTATGGGAATCTTAGAAAAGCAAAAGACAAGTAAATTAGAAGAAAACTAAAAGAAACATTCTTCTACTTAAGGAAAAAAAGAAAAAAACTCTTCATTACCATACTAACTAATATGTTTGGTTAGTCTCTTATTCTTTAACAAAAGAGTCTAATAGCTCTTTTGTAGGGGGGAGGGAGGGGGGTTGGGGAGAGAGGAATGAATTGGATAATAAGGAGGGAGGGGTGTAACTGGAAAGTTCCGGGTTTGAAACCTCCCATATACACTAAAAAATAGTTCTTTTTAAGAATATCAATTAATTCTTCATCACTGAATTTGATTACTAAAGGGATCATCTATAGATTGTATTCCAGGCAATGGTGATTCCTTGGCATGTCTAAAAACATTCTAAACCCAACCTTAGAGTACCAAATCAAAGTCATACTCCTTTTGCCCTATAATTGATAGGTTGCAATTTTGTTATTAAATTTATGATTTTTTCCCTTAATTTCGGCTATATATTGCATTATTGAATGGATTTTACTCATGTTTGGTAACTGGTGCTAATTTCAGAAATATGGCAAGAAAAGGAGTAAAATGTGATTTAATGAAGATTCCTGACCTGTTCCGTGTGACTACACCCAAGTCTAGCCTCAATTCCGAAGAGATCGGGATTTGGCGCGTGTGGCGATTTTCCAACTCAAATTGAAGTCCTAAGTTTCCTTTTTCCAAGGCAATTGGCTTTGTGTTTTGAATTAAGAGATAAGGAGCTTACCCTTTGTTTAATTAGGAAAATATTTCTTCCGTAGGAAAGTGGAATTAGTAGTAGTAGTGCTACTACTACTTTAGGAAAAGGAAAGAAACGTAAGGGTGAGGGACTCTTGACTTTCGTGATTTTTGTAACTTTGTTCCCGGTCTGAGAGACGCGGAGTTTGAGGTACGAAGAAAAGAACCGAACGAAGAGCTTTTCTCTTGGTCTTTCTCTTTTCTTTAGCTTTTCTATCATCGATGTTCATGCAACTTTTGTCAATAAAATTACTTGGATTATTTTCAACGATAAGCGCTAAATTCTCTTTCTAGTTAAGAAGCAATAGAGGATTTAGTTTATCTAAAATTGTGAGCTCGAATTAATTGTTTTTATTTCTTTTATTCACTAGTAGTCATATATCCTCTACTTTAATTTCTTATGACTGTTATATTATTTGAATATGAAGGGCGTCCAATATTTAATTCAATCTAATAACCTAAAATCAATTAGAATAATTAAAAAAGTAATTGTTTAATTACTTTAAACTAGTAGTAACTGGTATGATTGGATTTGTGTTAAGCGGACATATAAGCTAATTTAAAATAACACTAGTAGCGTGTTATTTGATTAGAGTATGACTTCTCTAATTTTTAAGCTAATTGGAAAACTGAACTCTAAACTCGTACCTAGGGTTTTTTCTTGATTAGGATAATGGTTAATGACCATACCTTAACTACCAATACAATAAAGAGAAGTTGATTGTCATCGCTTGTTTAGCAGTTATAACTTGTTTATCAGTGAGTAAATGAAATTATCATTGTTTCGATGATCAATTGAGTGAACCGTCTCCAAAGTTATTTCTTGGTTAGAATTTATTTATTATTACTCCAATTTTAATAAATTGTCACTTAGTCTTTTCTATTTGAGTTATTTATTTATTCTCATCTTTATAAAAATCCCCCTTACTCTGTGCTCTAAAAAAAATGAATTTTTCCCAATCCTTGTGGAGTCGACCCTGCTTACTGCTATATACAAAATTTGTATTTTATTTGAGCAAGTATTTACTATTGCATAGACTCGACACCTGTCAATAATTTAAGTAATTTAATCATAATGTTCAAAGAAATTAAGCTATGATTAAACTAAAGAGTCATATTGACATCTTTTCCTCCACTAATTTAATCCTAAAGTTCAAAGAAATTATGAAAGTTAAAGAGCCATATTTATTCCTTTTTCTCCACTGCAAAATATACTTCTATAAATGGCTAGCTAAGCATATTATGCTGAAGTAACATCCTATTTTCTTCTAATAATTCCCCTTTAGTTCCTATGAAGTATGAAAACCAATTCTAATGGATTCCATACCAAAAAGAAATTATGTGTTGCTTTTATTCTTTTCACCAATTACACTACCTAACCAATTATTGCATACAATTTATCACACAAAAAGTCATAAATATGTGAAGCACCCAATTGTACATTAACATACGAAATGAGCACATTCACTCATAAAGTCAGATATATGAACAGAAATAAAATGTATACTTTTCATTCTTTTTATTTTAAAAAAAATTTTCAAGTTTTTTCTTTCTGTAAATTTTCAAGATGTTGATATTACACGAATATCCAATCCTAAGCTCAATTTAAACCAACTATTGGTCTTTAGCAATTTGCTAGGATATATCTTCTGTTGCCTAAGAAGATTAGCAAGTTTTCGTTCTACATATCTATTTGAACAATTTCCTAGTCATGTTTACAAGTGACCAAGCATAAATCTACCCACGCCTCAAAAAAAAAAAAATTGTAAGCAAAACTTTTTCATTTCCATAAAGGCATTTTATGTGTTTATCAAATTTTTCTTAAATAAGTTATTGTGTAAAGCAAGTACCTTACCTTCACTACAACAAAGAAGGGAATTAGCTACAAAATTTTTTACGAGGAGCAGACAAGTCAACGCTATTAATGTGTGGATGACGAGGAACAAAGCATATCCTCACCAAATGTTGGAGACAGCTTGACTTTTGCTAGCACTATGACTTTCCTCGCTTAACATCCTTGCCAAAAAGAAAGGCGGGAAGCTTCCCTCCAAATTGTAGTCATAGTGGCGCCAAGGCTTTTTGGTACTCGTGAGAATTCATGCAGTCCCACGCTGATGTACCGCACTTGGTGAGGACAGGTTCTCGCTGATCTGTATTTGACCAATAGCAAGAAGTGGTTCTATTCTTGCTAAAATAAAAATACAACCAAACGTTGTAGTTTTAAGAGTTAAGAGGCCTTTGAAAAAGGAAAAGAAAAAGAAGAAACAGAAGAGTAAAGTGCAGATGCGGGAAGATAAATGCCACCAAGTTCGTTGATTTCATTCTCTTTCCCTTTTAATTTCTCTGAATTCTCTCTCTAACAATTTGTAATCAGGTGCGCTTTTTCTTCTTCTATTTTAAGATCAAGGCTAGATATGTAAAACTTTACTTGTTATTTTTATTGCGGTTACTAATTGTGTCTATGTGGTCCTCTTGAATTTAATAATCGATTGCTACCATGTGAATCCCATAAGAATCTGATTGAGTTTTCTTTGCTACCTATCATCCTCCGTGTTCATGTTTATAATATTTGAGTTATTCACTTCTTTTAACACATTTGGCATGTTCAACAAGTCAGGATTCTTGTTTTGTGCTTCTTTATGGTAGAACCATGTTCATTACCTTTGTAACCTTTTTTTGCTTGTATGATTTTATATCCCTAATCCTTCTTAACTTGTATAGGAGTTGTGTCTTTAACATGGTATGCTTTTTTTGAATAAGTGGTTAAATTATGGTCTGCTATATCATAGAAGATAACAATACTTTCGTATCATTAGCTATTGTCCTTTTGGACAATTTATAGGTTTGGCCTTATCGTTAGTAAAGGCCATTATTCTTCAACTACTGAAAGCATAGAAATAAAAAATTTCAGTCCTCAGAGATGTCATTTTGAGTAATAGTAGTTTTGTTTTACTAATAACATCCAATGATATCTTCAAGATTTAGAATAGCGCACTACTAAAATGAGTATTGAATAGCACTAATCGGAACATGAAAATGATTTTCCAGCTGATTACATTCACCCAGTAATTCATTGCCAACCAGTGTTTGGATTGAAATTGCATTTGTTCTGGTGCATACCTTGTTGATTATAAGATCTTTTGTCAATCTGTGTATGTTTGTGGTCCTTCAAGTTGGCTAAACTTAGATGCAGAAGGCATGACGAATTTGACTATCAGTACTTTACACAACGACATTAATCTCAAGGCTTAGTTTCAAAGGAACAAAGACACAATTCAAAGTAACAAATGAGAAAATAACTCTGCTGCAAAAACATTTTTGTTTTTCTCTATAAAAATTTGACAAGGCCTAGAACTCTCAGGATTTCTTAGCATTCTCTACAGAACCATACATCTATCCAAACCTGGTTGATTTGCCACCTCCAAAATGCGTCCTGGACTTGAAAACAAAGATGGCATTTGGGTCCTTGACATCATACATCCTAGCCAATTTTTCCTTCAACTTAGCCTTGGAAACATTAGGCCTTCGAGGATGCAGAACATCAATGACGAATTGTTTTCTGGAAAGAAGACGATTGGTCATGAACTTCCTAGTACGAATAGTCACCACCTTGTCCGCCATTTTTCTTGCCTCCGGCGCCACCACTGCTTCCGCTCTTTCTCCTCTGAATGGGCGGTTGGTTGGGGAAGCGACAGAAGGGGAACGTAAAAGGCTTTCTTACAATAATCAATGTCCATGAGGGTCTTGAATTTTATAGCAATAGATTGATGCCAAGTTAATCCCAGAGCAATCTTGCTGAGTTTTCTTGGCCATGATTCCATGTTCACTCTTTAAAAGATAGGGAGTGTAATTGATCAAATGGGGGAGCCAACAGCTTCAACGTCTTCAGTGTTAGAGCAATGGACAAATGCTGCTAGTCCTTTCAATGAATCAGTTGTGGCATTTTAATTAGCATTATCTTGTGTGAAAAACATGACTTCTTTTTTTTTTCTCTCTCTCTCGACTTAATTAGAACATTTCTTTAGCTGTTTCACCACTGAGCTGGGTGAGGAATTGGTATGGTGCCATAATAGCACTTCTTTCTTGAAGTGATATCGCTGCTCTGTTTTTCCTCTGTTTCTAGCCGTGTTTCCAACAACTTCTTTGGAACTCTCCAGTTTTTACAGCTTGTGTTTCTGTCGGCCGTTTCCATGACTAGTTGCAGATGTAGCTTCTCTTCTCACAATCCAAACACCCCTCGCCCCCCACCCCCAAAAAAAAAAAAAAAACTCCTACATGTATGCATGCAGCTTGGTAGGTGGACAAGTGCATGAGCATGCATGACATCTTTCAGCAATAATAATGACTTTCCATCGTTGTATCATCATTCTTTCAAACAATTTATTGGTGATGTCACCAATTTGTGCTTCTGTGTGATGATGTTAGTACAAATCTCAATTAATAGGAATGCATAGAGTCAGTCCTCTATTATTTCTGGTAATACACTATGACAAAAAGATGAATGGATGTGATGCAAGCTATATGTGATTTTGGAAAGCAATATATGGGTAGCCAAATACATTGGAAGTTTTAGTGCTGAGAAATGCAGTTGAGGCACAATGGTTTTAGTAAAAAATTTCATTATGTTTGGAAAATCTCTTATATTATGTTTTTGTTTTGCAGGTTTATTTTGGAGATTTTGGATGAAAGTAGGTTGTGCAATCTAGAAGGAGCCACTTGAGCTTGAATTGTTTTTGTAGTTTGGCTTGTCTTGGATGTGGTAGATGATAAAATATTTTGAAGCTAGGCTTATTTTTGTTTAAAAGGTGTAATGGTATGTGTTTTCCTTGCTCTATGTGGCAATTTGTCTTCTTGACAAAAGTCCTGTAATTCAATTCTAAAAATGCTTGCAGTTAATTGTTTGCTTGAATTTAGCTTGTTAATGTGTGATTTTTCTGGTGCAGGTTAACATTGCGAAAATAGGTTGCAATCTGGAAGGCACCGTGAAAGTGTTTAAAATGTTTAGATGGCTTGTTTGGGATGCAATAGTTGACAAGACCTTTTGGAAGCTCAAGTTTGTTTTAAACGGTGGTTATAAACTCTAGTTATTTTGGAAAGGCACAATTGCTGTTCATGTATTTTTGAAGTAATGACTTCAACTTTTGGTCATGCATAGGTGCTGAATTATGATTAAATGTCACACGTCCCTTTTTCCATCCTAGTTTATGCTTATTGCTTTTTTAAGTTTCAATTTTGCATTTTATTGTTTTTTATTAATCCGTGTAATGAAAGTGGGAAAGTCTAGCAATATGTAATACAATTGCCCAAGATTTTTGGAACTTGGAGATTCATAAAGACCAAATACTTTAAATCAAGCGTATTTATGGGTTTTGAATTTTATATCTACCAGCCAAACAATGCAGGCATGGAAAAAGTGTTACACAGGGGGCATTAGCTTTCACAACTCTGTCAAAGAACTTCAAATTTCATGAAACGGTTGTTATGTACTTCCTTTGTCCGTAGTTGTTATCATATTTTTACTTTATTGATGTTCCAAAATAATAGTCGCTATTTCAAATTAAATACATACTTTTCAATTTTGCCATTTGAAAATTTTTTTTTTAAATTTCGATACACTTCTATTAAAACAATATTTTGAATTCAAAGGATATATATGTAATTCATCAATGCCACCTCATCTAAATATAATGATTACCATATCTCCATATAAATTTGGATTCCCAAAAAATGACTCTAATATTAAGATTGAGGGAGTACTTTAGAATCTTGTCACTTAACATGGAAACAAGGGGAAATGATATCACAAATAATATTGAAAAATTAATTAATCTATATATGCATTGGTATTTGACAAAATTGGAATATAGTTCAAAGTCACATTTATTATTTTGGTCTCAAAACAATAAAAATGGAGTTGTTTACAATGATTAATACTCATGAAACTTCTGAAGTACTTTATTTCAATCAATTTTGTAATTAAGGAGAGATTAAGACTATTACACAAGACTTTTTTCTTAATAAATAAATTACATACTTTCGTAACAATTCAAGTTGATAGGCACTGTGAAGCGCTTGTTACACGAAATTCTTTTTATAAAGTATGATTAAAATTTCTCATAAAATATGACTTTAGAAAAATAACACATATAGTTTAAAGTCACATTTGTTATGTTGGTATTAGAATAATAAAAATGGAGCGGTTTACAATTATTAATACTCAATGAAACTTCTAAAGTACATTATTTCAATCAATTTTGTATTTGACTAGAGATTAAACCCATTACACTTGACCTTTTTCTTAATAAATGGATTACATACTTTTGTAACAATTCAATAATAAATGGATAGGTATTGTGAAGCACTTGTTACACGAAATTCCTTTTTATAAACTACGATTAAAATTTCATCATAGAAATATGAGTTTAGCAAAATAACACATATAGTTTAAAGTCACATTTGTTATGTTTGTATTAGAATAATAAAAATGGAACAGTTTACAACTATTAATACTCAATGAAACTTCCAAAGTACATTATTTCGATCAATTTTGTAATTGATGAGAGATTAAACCTATTACACTAGATTTTTTTCTTAATAAATGCATTACATACTTTTGTAACAATTCAAGAATAAATGGATAGGTATCGTGAAGCACTTGTTACATGAAATTCTTTTTATAAACTACGATTAAAATTTCATCATAGAAATATGAGTTTAGCAAAATAACACATAGAGTTCAAAGTCACATTTGTTATGTTGGCATTAGAATAATAAAAATGGAGTGGTTTACAATTATTAATACTCAATGAAACTTCTAAAGCACATTATTTCAATCAATTTTGTAATTGAGGAGAGGTTAAGCCTATTACACAAGACTTTTTTTTCTTAATAAAAGAATTACATACTTTTATAACAATTCGAAAAAATGGATAGGCAATATAAATCGCTTGTTACATGAAATTCTTTTTTATAAATTATGATCAAAAGTTTATCATAGAAATATGAGTTTAGCAAAATAACACATAGTTCAAAGTCACAATACAAATAGATTTAAAAGTTGACGAACTGGAATTACAAGTAATTTACTATAATTCATAGATTATAGTACATCCATACCAATTTTATTCTTTATCCTCGTATTTAAAACTTTAGAACAATTAAATTAAATCATCTAATTATTAACGCTTATAAGTGTTTTATACAGTTACTTGAAAAAAAATACTCATATATGAAATACATAAGATTTTTTGAATTATGCATATGGACATGTATTAGCACAAATATAATATAAATATTTATTGACTAGCACACTTGAAGGCATTCCTCTCATGCTATTTTATGCGTAGTTAAGTTCTTCGAAGTTTAGCAAAAATATAAGAGTAAGGAATAATTTCAAGAAATGGCAATTACATATCATACAACAAACCTCTATTTGAAAATTAAATGCAAATCTATCAAACTTAATTAATTTGATTAGCTATATATTGAGAATATTTTCATTAGTTTCATTTTCTCATACACGATCTCTTACAATTTTTATATACTTCTAACACTCAATATTCATTCTATATAATATACTCCAACTCTTAGAAGCTTTTAACTACAACACTTAAAACATCAATAATGTTTCAGAATTTAGGACGCGCGCGCTTTATTCCCTCCAAGAATTTTTTTTTTCCCGCAACATCCTTCCGGCAACATTTGAAGGCTCATTACAGCTGAGGGATAATACTATTATACATATACATAGAAAGGCCGGTCCTCGCTTATCTCTCTCAATTGATCAAGCACGCATATGTTCTTCTCTCAAAGGCCAAGATTGGTGGTTTTTAGTCCAAAAATAGAAGAACAGATGCGGGAATTGCTAAACGTGAAGGAGACCTCTGAGGAATTGCTAAAAAATGAAGGCCCACCTCCTGTCTATCTCCTAAGAATTGCAAAATGTGAAGGAGCTTAGGTTTTATTGCTGTAAGAAAACCTCAGAGCAACTTCAATACTTCATCCATTTGCATCAAATACTGTTAGATCTATATTTTGGTGCCATTTTGTGAATCTTCATATCCTTCTTGTGCATTCTTATTACCATTATTTGTGTTAGATTTCTAAGATTACATTATTTTCCTCACAATTTTAGGAAAATTGAGTTCCAACCATTCTCTTGACTCTGTGAAGGTAAATTATGTGGGTTTGTGCTTAATATCAAAGATTGTATTTTTCGATTGGTGGTGGTTTAAGCTAACAACCTCTGATTTTCATCTTGTTTTCTGGTTGGTTGAGGTTAACTTCTCTGCTTTTCCTAGTTGGTTTAAGCCCCTGTTTTCATATGCAATCAGTAAAATTTCTCCATCTAATCTAATCTTCCCTTTTTGTGTAGCTTCATCAAGTGAGATTTAAAGAGGGGTAGTGCTGATATGGAGCCACATCAAGTTAGTTCTATTGAATGTCTTCTTTTGAACTTACCTACAAGTGTAAAGAACAGGTCAGCCTCTGTGTACATACTAACAAGTTAGTTCCTAGTTGGTTGAGGTTAACTTCTCTGCTTTTCCTAGTTGGTTTAAGCCCCTGTTTTCATATGCAATCAGTAAAATTTCTCCATCTAATCTAATCTTCCCTTTTTGTGCAGCTTCATCAAGTGAGATTTAAAGAGGGGCAATGCTGATATGGAGCCACATCAAGTTAGTTCTATTGAATGCCTTCTTTTGAACTTACCTACAAGTGTAAAGAACAAGTCAGCCTCTGTATACAAACTAAGTGTTGGAGGCAAGAGGACTTGGGGTTGATTTCAGGATTCATGCAATCACAATACCAGCTTGCAATTTAGTGAAGTTGAAGTTGCAGTTCCATTCTACCAGGAATTTCTGCATTTGAACTAAACTCTATTCCAACATGGGTCATTTGGGGTTAGGTGCTTTTTGTGCACTTATTGTAAAACCTGCTTTTAGATATTAATATTTTGTTTCTTTTGGATAGATTCTCATTGATAGTTGACAATTTTGGATTGTCAATTGGTTTCAAGCACTTCCTATTGTATGGCTCAAGATATTGAAAAAGTTGGATGTTGATGTATTACTCTGCTTGCAATTATTTTTAGCTAACCAAAGCTTTTGTATGTTCTTTACCGAATGTTTAGCAAAAGGGAGTTGTTGGCACCAGGTGATATTCCAAAAAACTATCAAATACCAAGGCTTATGAGTTTAAATTTGATGAGCATCTACGTTGGTGATGTTCATAAAAAAAAAAAAATTTTCCAAACAATTTGATACTTATAAGAAGCTAGAAAATGTACAACAGACATGAGAAGCCAAATTTAAGCTATTTGCAGCTAAATTTTCTAACAAAACCACTCCATAATTGGCTCAGGGAATTAAGATTAGCATATTAAAATGGGATTAAGAAATGTTCACAACAGCATTGGAGGGGAACATTTTCCCACCGAATAGTTAGGCAAGAATCAACTATCGCTTGTTAGAGAGGAAACTTTCCTGGCCAAAAATGTTTTACTGGTATGGGGGGTTGCAGATTTGTCAAAAAGCTCCTTGCCAATTCTATATTATTGGTGAGGATGCACTATTTTCCTCACAAAACAGCTTGACTATTTGCAAGGAACCACATGTTTTTGTGGGGAGTTTTTGACTTTAGTGGAGAGGAAAGTTTTTCTCGCCATAGCATTCGAGCAATTAGCGAGGAGGTCTCTGCCCTTGCTATTGATTTGTTCCATTAGTGAGAAAGGCAGCAACATTCACGCTAATAACTTTTAGCGATGAGCATCTAGCGAGAAACTTGGCGAGGAAGCATTTTCCTCGCTGAAATTAATTGGCGAGAAAGTCAAAACTTTTGGCGAGAACTTTTGTTCCTTGCCAAATCCCTTTTTTGTTGTAGTGCTTCAAGGTTTTAAATAAATTATTGGCTTGTTCGATTCTTATGCAATCTAATAATTTCTGTGCTACTTAATTAAATTCTAACAACTGCACCTTGCATTGCCCAATTTTTCTAAGTGATCTTTAATATTAAGTTCTAAACAATTCGGTAGAATTTTTAAAATCATATTATGAAAAGTATGAAGGCATTCAGTCAAGTAATTTTTGTGCAAATGTTAACCATAGTTGACTGCCAATTATTTATATTCTAGCTCTCCGTATCTACAATAACTAAGATGCCATAAAAATTACAACTAAATTAAGAAGCTACAAACCAAATTAAGGTGCAGAATCATTCGTGCATGCAAAAGCAGACCAATTGGCGGAATAATTTGTGATTGAAATAGAAATGAGGATTGTTAAAACAAGGAATCTAGAAACTTAAGTGTTTGTTGGAAGCCAAAAGTTTTGAGACATTTTGGTATTTTCTATTGACGGGTTTTTGCTATGTGTACAAGTTTAATTCCAAATATACTCGTTTGGCTACAAGCCTACTAGTATACAGTCAACTTAGTAATTTAGGGCATATTTGGGTCGATCCCATGAGAAACTAATATGCAAGTACTAAATCCTTTGCTCACTTTATTATTTAGACTATTATCAAATAAAGAGTAAGAAAAGGCAACCAAATAACTTACTACTCTTTAACTAGCAAACTTGTAGAGAGAAATAATTAGAGAAAATTCACTAAATGTTAAGTTCTAGGGTGTAGAGTCCACTTATGGTCCAAAAATACAAGTGAATGAAATTAGTCTCTTGTTACTACTCTTGTTTAGCTAGAGATTCATATCCAATATCACCAAATATAGTGGTTTAAACTAGTTTAGTCTTTTTTGTTCTCATAGTAAAGAACTAAATCTAGTCATTTAACTCCATGAAATGGTAAAAAAATCCATTCAATGCACCTCTACTCTTGTGAGTCTACTCCTTAAGTTCCATTTATCTTGTTCCATCATTATTACCAATTTTCATTGAGTAACAATAACTAAAATCTTGTTATTGGTGATCAAGCAACAACAAGTTATAAGTATGCATAAATGGACAATTTAATACAAGAGGTAACAAGAATAAATCACATTCAACTCATGTTATGGTACCATAAGTTTTCATCTACTTGCCAGATCTAAAAGTTTAGCTCATGATAAGAAATAAGTTAAATAAGTTCATAGATTCATTGTATGAACTCATATTGAATCACAAGATATGAAAAACTTAGCCAACTAGATGAAAAAGCTCCCAATATCTTCAATTTCTTCACCAAAATGAGTTGTATAATGAAAAAATTCTCCAAGTTTCCCCTTGCAAGACTTTCTCTCCTGATGGGAGAAAAAGAAATGACTAAATGCTTGCTCTCCACTCCTCCTAGACTACTTTCTTAAGACTCTTATAATCCTTGCAATATAAAGATGTTAAAAGAGTCAAAAAGTCTCCATTGAAGTGACATAAATCTTTCTTTACACTCTTCTAAGTTTCCTTGGGCAAAATCAGCCGAATTTCAGAGTTGGAGAATAGCTGTAAAAGCTGTATGGATACAAAACAAGTTGAGGTGCAAGTTGTAGGTTCGTTTGAAGAATATGTGGGCATGAAAATGTGGGAATAAGGTTGCATATTAGGCCCCCGTTTTGCCTCTTTTTAGGTTTTCTCATTTCTTATCAGTCTTCAACGTTAGTCTGTTTTTGGATCAACTTTCACTGCTATGTTCTTGATGATGCCAGCTGAACTAACTCTTGTGCAAAACATGAAAGTTGTAGCCCTTTAAGTTAGCTTTCCAATGATTCAAGAATCACCAGATTTGAAGCTCTGTAGACTAATAAATGACCAAAATACCCTAAATGGTCAAAACTCTATTTCAGCTTTTGGCAACAAATATGGCCGCTTGTATTTCGACATTTTGACTAGAAATGTAGAGCTGTGAGTTAGCTTCAGAATGACTCAAGAATCACCTCAATCTAATACTTGTAACTTGAGATATAGCCAAAATACCAATAGGTATCGAAGCTGTCAAATATTTTTTTCTTTTGTACTTAATTGCATTTCATCTTTGCACTTCATATCCTCTTTAAATCACTTCAAATCATCCATAATCATTCAATTATCTTCTCAATTCACTCCATTTGATAATTGAATCATTGAAACCTACAAAAACATGAAGTTTTCACTGTTTTAGTCCATAAAAATACAATTTTTCACACTAAGGAAGCAACATGTCAACTTCACTTAAAATCTAACTAATTAGCTATAAAAATTATTAAAACACACCAAAACTAAATAATAAAACATACTTAATTACTCAAAATGCATACTTATCATCTATCCATTGAATGGGTTTAATGGTACCTTTCAATGTCTATAAATTTCCATAAACATATGAAACAGCTGCTGAATAGCTTGTGACCCTTGGATTGTCTTTTCACTATAAAAATGATAAGTTTCTAACACATAAACTAACTAGAATCTTGATCCTTTTTTTTTGTAAGAGAAATCTTGACATTTGCTATCAAATTTCTGCAAAATCTTGCTGTATTCATGAGGTAATTTGCCATAATCCTATAGCAAACAATATGTACAGTGGGAGTATAAATAACACCTTAAGGATAGTGTCAAACACTATTCCAGATCAGCATCTTCTTCATCCCTATTTTCTTAGTAAAATTTGTGTAATACAAAATTTTGCACTTTTGTGTGCTGTGTATCAATTGCAACAACAATCTTAAGGTGTTATTTGTGTTATTCGAGAGCGGCATTGTAACCAATTTCTCTTCCACAAGATGTCGATAGCAGGGGGTGAAAGAAATGCAAAATGGACAAAATGCTATGTAGAGGACTTCACGAATTACTGCATCGCCATCAAGAGAAGTTCGAACTGCATTGGAGTATAAGAAAATTCAAATAAGGTGTGGACAAATTTCTTGTTAAATATTATTTAAAATTTATCTTTATGATAGTTCTTCTCTTCTTGGCAAAGTATGATCTACAAGTAAGTTGAAAATCATGGAATGGAGATTTCTATGTTATTTCATAATACGGGTAACTACTAAAATTACCTAGTTAAAATGATTATCAAAGAAAATCACTCTACACTACTACTACATTCATGGTGGATCATGTTCTAAAACATTTTTCAATAAAAAAAGATGCTTGAATCCTATGATGAACTATGTAAAGAAGAAGAAAAACAACGACAGGTTTGTTGGAAGGTCCAAGGAAAAGGAAATACTTATTCAAATGACAAGGAAAATTAATGTTGTCCAAGAATAGTGTATTTGTTAAATAAGGCTATATTTCATGTTTAACATGATTATTAATAAGTGTGAAAATTCTATTCATTTGATCGAGTCTCCTTTTTCTTGCGACATGTGAATACAGGTCATGATATTCTATGTCAAAACTTAGTCTAAAAAAAGTAGTGTGTAATATGCATTCAAATGTGGTAATAGAAATTTTATTACCTTGATGATAATTAATCAATATTTGTGTATGTATATCTAAGGCAATCACTTAAACAATAGTATGAGAAATATGTATCTATGTTACTCTAAAGCAAATTTAGGTGCTATGAATGCTGGTAGTTGCATTTGTTCTAAATTCAATCAAGAGTATATTGTGATCATAAGATGCTAATTGTTGAAATCAAAACCTTAGCTACTACATGTGTAAAAAGGCAAAGTGGTTTAGGGTTTGTGGCCACGCCCTACACATTCGGTCTATTTATTTTGCAATTTGTAACTACTATATCTAGAGTCTCAAATAAGGTGTAATGGTAAATCTAAACATGTTAAGTCTAAGATACGAGTATCTTAGCAAATATTAAAAGAATGATGTTGTGTATGTTATATATGAAAACTACAACAATCAAGGATATCCATTGACGAAACCCTTGTCAAGGGACTTGGTGAATTTAATGTCATTGGTTATGGGATTGAAAACCTTAATCTAAAATCATTTCTAATAGGAAACCTACCTTGATTCTAGCACCACCACTAGATGAAAAGGTTTAAGGGGCAATAACAGGTTGCAAAGTAATTGTGAGCACTAAGTACTATTGTGTACATTCTCACCCCACTAATGCATATTATTATAAGAGGTTGAGTATATGTTGAAATTATGCTCTTAGTGAAGTTTAATTCTTTCT